TGTAAATGTGCTATTATTTCTGCCAACTTAAAAAACAAAACAAAACCTCTTGACTGGCTTCCCCTGACAGCTTTCTTCCTATCTGTTCCTCTTTGTGCCAAAACTCCTCAAAAGAGTTGCCTATACTCACCCTCTCCAGTTCTACTACTCCTATTATCTCTTGTTTTTCCTTAATTAGCATGCATGAGGGGTGGTCATTCCCCTAATAATGAACTCCTCTCAGGGCTTTTCTTTCATATAAGTGCTACAGTAAAGACACACATCCCTCGTGATTCTCTAGTGCACACTGAATACAGTTTAGTGTTCTTCCTATCTCTCGGTTATTCCTTCTCAGCTTCCTTTTCGGATTCCTCCTCTTCTCAATGTTCATTCTCCTAGTGACCTCATCTAGTCTCCTGGCTCTGAATGCCAGGATACGTCAATGATTCTCAAATATTAACATTCTCCGCAGACTTTGGTCCCAAACTCAACTCATAGAGCCCACTTATTAAATGTCTCCACTTAGATGTCTAACAGAGATCTCAAATACAAGATGTTAAAAAACGAAGTACTAAACTTCCTACCCAACCCTGCTCTACGCAAAGCCCTCCTCACCTTGCTGGATGGCAACTCCATTCTTCCTGCCTTTCAGGCCAAACACCTTTAAATGACCAGGACTCCACTCTCTTATATCTCCTCACATTTATACAACCATGTAGCTAAATCCAGAATCCAACACCTTCTCAGCACCTTGAATGTTGCTTCCCTGGTCTGAGCCACTACCCTCTCTCATCTGGATTATATATAATATAATAATATATAATATAGCATAATAATATATAATATAATTAATGATATAATTAATATAATTAGTATATAATAATATAATATAGTATTTATTTAAATTTTAAAGTAGTCTCTGTACTCAATGTGGGGCTCAAACTCACAACCTCAAGATCAAGTCACATGATCTACTAAATGAGCAAGCCAGGCACTCCTTGTCTATGTTTTTAAAATACAGACATTGGTCAATGGGTGAACAGGCAACAATCTCTGCTCTCAAGGAATTCAGTAAAAAGCAACCATTTGATAATAGACTTAAAACAATTTTAACTTCTTGTAATAAACATATATTCTTAAAACCATGAGCTAACACGTTAAGTGGTGGAATAGTGTTATTTGTATTTTCATTAAAATCAGAAACCAATCAAAGATGCCTTATAGTACCAGGCCACTTAACACTCTTCTATAAGTTATGACCAATGTTATAAAATATGAAACATAAATAACAGAAATGGGGAAATAAATTATTTTTGTTTGCAAGTGACATAATTATATACCTACAAAAATTTATGAGAATCAAATTAAGAACTCTTGGCTAGCACACAATAATTCAGCAAAACAGCCAGATTTGAGATAAACATAAAATTCCACAGCTTTCACCCCTACCAGTACAACACAGTTATAAGATACAATAGGAGGAAAATTTTGATTCACAACATTAAAAGTTCAAACATATAAAACTAACAGTATAACACACTATCAAACACTGTGTAGGCACATATGAAAAAGTGAAATAAAAGGAAAAATGCTTATGATACGATATTAAGTATAAAACCCACGTATAGAACCACCTAGGGGGTGATATGTATGTGTATATATATTTATATATGTATATTATACAATTATATATGTATATTATACATCCGTGCCAATGGCAAAATCTCAAAGGGATTGTACTGAAATAGTAATCATTGCCTCTGAATTAAAAAAAAAATTATTAATTTATTTTATTTTTGAGACAGAGAAAGACAGAACATGAGCAGCGGAGGGACAGAGAGACAGGGAGACATGGAATCTGAAGCAGGCTTCAGGCTCTGAGCTGTCAGCACAGAGCCCAAAGCGGGGCTCGAACCCACGGACTGTGAGATCATGACCTGAGCTGGTCAGACACTTAATGGACTGAGCCACCCAGGTGCCCCGCCTCTGAATTTTAATAGGTAATTTTCATTTTCTTCTTTATAATATATTTCTCAGATTTTCTACAATCATCATGGAAGACTTTATACTTAAAAGTTTTTATTTTCTGATAGGTATTATTTAAGCCATACTACCTATCTGAAAGCTGAACTAATCCATAGAAGTATTTATAATAATTAACTGCTGAATCTGTCAGAGGACTCAATTTTTACAAAACCAGTTTTTAATTTTAGTTTTACAAAACCAGTTTTTGTTCCTCTCTCAAAAGTGAATCACTGAACTCACTAAAATTATACTAAGAAAGATGAGATTGTTATTTGTGGATGCAAAGAAATATAAGAATAAATAGTATGTGGGGCACCTGGGTAGCTCAGTCGGTTAAGCGTCTGACTTCGGCTCAGGTCATGATCTCACAATTTGTGGGTTCGAGTTCCACGTCAGGCTCTGTGCTGACAGCTCAGAGCCTGGAGTCTGCTTCCGATTCTGTGTATCCTCTCTGCCTCTCACCTGTTCACACTCTGTCTCTCTCTCAAAAATAAATAAACATTAAAAAAAAAAAAAGAATAAATAGTATGTACTAGTACATTGTTTATATTTTTTAAGATATGATATGTGTTTTGGTGGGCACTGTTAATATTAAAAACTGGAGTTAGACTGTTAATGGCATAGTGTGAGGAAAAGTCTTTAATCTGTAGGACTTTGCTGATCCTTTGGGAAGTGAATGTCTGAATTTGGCCCTAAGAGCACTGAACATACTAAGTTAAGTCTCTCTGACTGGACCAGCGGAGCAGAAAACCAGAATAAGTTATTTCAACCATTCTGCCAGCTGGCTGTGATTACTGTTCCAGGTGATGGGTTTCAGGGAGTTTTTATGTGTAATCTATGATTACAGTTAGGTCTCCATAATAATCAGCTTAATTCCACCATTATGTAAATCATTGCTCACAGACAGATACCCTGGCGGAGAGACAGAAAGACTGCAAAGCAAGAACACTCAGGAAAAGGAGCACTTTGGTTAAATTAACGTCCTATTTAAAAAAAAAAAAAAAATGAATCCCTTTGATTCAAGGCTTAGTTATGTGACCTGCTTCACCATAGAGATTGGTGACATTAGGCTACCGAGCCAGGAGCACAAAGTGCCTCAGGCAACACCCAAACACCCACTCCTTTTCTTTCCTTTTTCAGTGTTTTTTTGGGGGGTGTGGGGGGAAAGATAGCGCATCTGAAGTGGGCTCTGCACTGACAGCAACAAGCCCAATGTGGGGCTCAACCCACTGAGCCACCCAGGTGACCCACACCCACTCCTTTTCAAAGCTGCAGGAGGGTGTGAGGCAGAGCTGAGTTGGGAGGAAATGAGGACTGCCTTTAAAAAAATAACATGAAAAATAACAATTTTGTTGTTGTTTTGTTTTTACCTAATAATGAAAAAAATCTAAGAAGTTAGAAGTTCAAGTTAGCTGAACCTTTACCAAATGTTTGTCCCTAGGCAAAAGACATTTTAAGGCACTCCAGTAATAACATAAAGGTAGTTGACCAAAGGATCTCACTCAGAAAAATGAGTGAGTATAAGGGGAATAATGATTCTAAATAATAGTAAAGTTTACACAGAAAGTCTTTTTATTATAATATTCCTATTAAAAATGTGAAACATTATTTCCAAGATAAAGATCATATTCCTTACATTATGTCATAAGCAACCAGTGGCAGGACATGGGAAAAAAATCACATAGGCCTACTATCTAATTAGCTGTTCTACTTTTTGGATGACTTTAATTCAATCTCATAGCACAGCTTTTATGACTGATGTGTCTAACCGGGAACTGAAAAACCTAGGCTGTTAAGAACTATGATGAGGTGTTTGGACTATCATTTCTGTTTCTAATCTGGAATTTCCCTCCCCACAAGGAAATTCCCTCCCCTAAAACTCATTTCAAAATCCAATTTTAATTTTATCAGTAAGTGGCAGCATGTCACACAGTTCTGGAAAAGATTGCTGTATTTTTTCTAGAAAAATCAGGCTTTCTGATTTAATAGTATATAATCTTAGTCCGTCCGTTCACAGGTTGTTCAAAAGATCCTGAAAGAGCACCTGCTATGTGGTACCCTGCCTGGTACCATGCTCCACTTGAGGGAGCGGCCACTCCTTTCCCATGTCTCAATGTGTAGATGCAGAAGTGCAGGTTTCATTCAACTCATTTTTACAACAGAATCTCCTCAGAAAGTCCATTCAATGCCATCCACTCAGGGTTTGGGTCTACATAAAGTTACTACCAAAGAGACAGAAGGATGATTCTCATACATCATATTTTCACTAACTTATCCCATAAATACAAATTAGAGTAATCGCACTTCAAGGGAGCACTCTTTGCACAGGCAGATTAAAAGGAAGCTTTCACGTTCTTGCCTTTTTTGGTCCTGTTGCTTAAAAGCTACCTGTCAAGGCACGAACGCACTTCCAGGTTCCGACAAATACTGTGCCCATTACCCAAACAATGCTGGAGGACACTGCCAACTTGCTGGACGAAGGTCAGTATTTTTCACCCTTGCCTTTCATTCTCCTTTGAAAGCATCAGAATTTCCCTTCTGGCTTATCCACCGTGCTCAACCAGGGAGAGAAGAGAAGCATGACTCCCTATGGGTTGTTTAATTTACTTTGGAACAAAACTAGGACACTCTTTATTCTGAATGCAGGCTACACTTTTCTGATGATATGAATCCTATCTACATAGACAGTACTTTAAAGCAAACTACTCTAATAATAATAATCACCTCCTATTCTCTCTTGTGCCCTAGAAAGGTTTTTCTTCTCTTTTTGCTAAAACTAAAATGACACTTGTCCATAATCAACTCGTTCATCTCTACTCACTTCCCTTTCCCTTCCTAGAGAAGAAGTTGTGCATGTGAGTCAATTAACCTGGTTCCATGCGGCTGCAGCTGAAGAAACATGGCAGTTTTACTTCACAATGATTTTTAAGTTCTCAACGAGCAGGTAAGACTTCTCTCCTCAGTTAAGGGAAGCTGAGCACTCAACAAAAACTTACGTCTTTTCCCAGTACTCTGAGCTCAAACTGTGTCTCCTTGAAGTGAACTTTTGTAATCCGTGGCCTGAAAAACAAAGCAGATGGTGGTGATGCTGTAGTTTTTAAGAATTAACCTTTCAGAAATTCAAAGACGTATCCATGGGGAAAGACTGGTTCATTTCATTTCCTGTATATACTGCTCCAGTAATTGTGGAGTGTTCCCTGTATGTCATTTGCTCTGGACACCTTCCTAAATAAAATTCCATTCTCATTCTCCTGTGTTTCTCCAGTACATACAGACAAGCTTGGAATCCCTCAAACCCCAGAAGTCTGCCTCCCCAGACAGCATAGGGCTACAGGCTCCCCAGGCCCTCTCAATGCCTCCCTCCTATAGAGTTAGAAGTCAGAGTAGTCCTGGGCCCTCAGCCATACACTGGAATGGGTAGGAAATCCTACTACACATAATTTTCCTGGAAAAGAGAGTCCAGAATCACAATACCTCAAATTTACAGAGGAAAATACATACAAAGATGCACCGGGAGAAAACTTATACCCAGTTTTACTCATTTATTTAACAACTACTGGAAATGTACCTGTTTTCTTTTCACTGACAAGTGAGCCCAATAAGCCTAGTATATACAGTGTATAATTTTAATACCAACTCTGCCCTCAAGTTATACTTACCAGAAGTACTTCCCCACTTGTTTTTTATTCTTGTAGACAACAACACCAACTGGAGTTAATCCTAAGAAATACTCAGATTTGTTTTCTCCCTGCAAAAATAAGCATACGTCTATTACCATGAATTTATTCATTTCAAAGCTCCTTGTCAAACTGTAATTGGCCATACAAACATAATATGTTATATTAATGTTGGGTCTAGTTTGTCAAAGACATTAACTTGGAAAGTTAGCTAAGCTATGGTAATAGCTAGCTTGCTGCTCATTTTTTTCCAAATTTTTATGAAAATTTTTCTTAGTATATTCATACCTATAACTTCAGTTCATTAAAATAACCTGGACTGCCTATCAGGCCACTGATCGACTCACCCCATGCTGCATCTACAATGCTGTTCAACCCTGGCTGCACATTAACTGAAATCACCTGTGTAGCTCAACATGCTGATGCCCAGGTGTTACCAAAACCAGTTACATTGATATCTGTAATGAAGGGGCCCAAGGATCAAAAATACATCAACACTCCAGGTGATTCTCCTGTGCTGCCAAGAGTTGGGAACCACTGGCTTCTATCAAGGGTTCCTTCCCAAGGGCTGGCTCATCTTGATGAAGCCTGGTTTTCCACCACCCTTCTCCAGAAAGTTTAGTTCAGGCAGCTGCCTTCGGGCACACATCTGGGGTTTCTATCATGCTCCTTCCTACTTCCATTTGTGACTTTAAGACTACTCAAGAGTCAAAAATACGATCTCTTCTGGTAAAGACTGAAGACCCTTAATTTCCAGGAGATGATAAATCCTAACTAAGAAAATGAGATTCTGGGCGCCTGGGTGGCTTAGTCGGTTAAGCGTCCGACTTTCGCTTAGGTCATGATCTCGCGGTTCGTGGGTTCGAGCCCCGCGTCGGGCTCTGTGCTGACTGCCAGCTCAGAGCCTGGAGCCTGTTTCAGTCTGTGACTCCCTTTCTCTCTGACCCTCCCCTGCTCACGCTGTCTCTCTCTCTCTCCTAGAAATAAATAAAACTTTAAAAAAAAAAAAAAAAAGAAAGAAAATGAGATTCTGAAATGAAAAAGTCACAAACAGTGTGGGTAATGAAGGACATGCACACATCTGTATGAACTTTATTTCTACTCTAAGGTCAAATAACAGCCTGTAAAGTCATACTCCCAAGGAACATAAGATAACTGATATATTTTCGAAGAATACCAGCTGTTGCCCACTTTCAGTTCTAAAAATTCAATCTTCTGTATCTCCCTCTCTCTCTGACCCTCCACTGCTCATGTTGTCTCTCTCTCTCTCAGAAATAAGTAAAAACATTAAAAAAATTTTAATAATAAATAAAAATTCAATCTTAGAGGAACGTATGGAAGATTCTAGTGAAGCCAGTTCATTTGTCATAAATTCCTACCATCCACAAAAAAGTGCATGTGAATTATGATAAACATGACACAAAAGCAGAACCATTTTGCAGATTCTTTACACATTTACTATATATTTCTTTAAAAACTAAAAGCTCAACAAGATTAATGTGGCTAGAAAGGAAAACAGCAACTACTGCACAAAGTTTTAGAGGTGTTCTTAAATGGCAGTAGTATAGAGCATTTAATGATGTAATGAGATTGGAATCTAAAATATCAAGAAACTACTACTTCTCCCAAACATGTAACTTCCATTGCCATACTAACAGTATGCCCAAGGATGCTTTTATCTCTTTACAAAGAAAACAAGAAGATTTCTTGGTTTAGGAAACTCTAATGAGCAAACAACATATTGCAATATGAATCCATAAATGAGTTATTTCCATTATGATAAGTTTAATCAGTGCTCCTTAAAAATCACATTCCATAATTTAATTGACTTTGACTATAGATAATCTTGAGCAATTCATTTTGTGTAAAGAATAAGGCACCTGGCTCTGGCTCATTTTCTCAAATCATCAAATTTGACTATTGCTAACTCAACTCCTATAAAATGAAAGGCAATGGCATTTCAGCCTCACTGGCAAAGAACTATCAACTGGTAACCTTAGAGGGTGGCTTCAAGGTTAAGACATGGCTCCAGAAGACTCAACACAGATTCAGTGTAATTGCTCTCCGTCTATATTCAGCCAGTTTTCATCAGCCATTAACAAAAATTTGCAAGACCATGTCTTTGCACCATTAATGCAGTGGTGATAACTACAGTAAGCAGTAACCCTAATAGGGAGAGAACCTGTACATCCAACATAGAATCACCAACACTGGCACCTACACTGGTGCCTAGAGCCTACTTTTCTGGCAAGTGATTTCACGAATGCTTTTCAGCCATAAAATCTATTTTTGGAAAATCCTCCTGTTTTCTGTCTCATACAATCAATTCTAGACCAATTTTAAATTGTTTTGACATTTAGCTAATCCCTATGGAGCTGTTATCCAGATTGTGTTTTCAAGCCCAGTTAATTGTTTTCTACACATGGAAATATAATCACAGACTTTTAAGCAAAACTCATTAGGGTTTAATCCATGCAAGAGATTCTTTGTGTTCGAAAAACACAGATGAAAAGGTATCATCTGCTTGCTAAACAATAGGACTGCAGCTCTCCTTTGGGAGTTTTGGTGACTTTTTAAAAAAAATGTCATCAGCTTAAAATATCTTGTGTTAATTAAATGTTACTCACATAGACAGGATGGAGGTCAACGCCATACATCTCCAGGGATTTAGCAGTCCTCAAGTAATTCAGCTCTGCTTCAGAAGGAGCCTGACCCCTACACCCAGCATAAAAACAAAGGGCCTTATTTTACTAATAGGTATTGCACTCACACGGGGTATAAACCATCTTCACCATATTCACTGGAAAAATAAATAATCCTTTGTCCTAATGCAAACTTAAGTCTTAGTATTTGAAGAAGTCCCTTGCCTTCTTGGGTGAGGCAATACTTGTATTAAGTTAATTTCATTTACCAAATCTGTTTTTACTCATTATAGCCAATCCCAATGTCCCAGCATATATTAAAAATTCTGTTTCAGGGGGTGCTCCTGGGTAGCTCAGTCGGTTAAGCGTCCGACTTCAGCTCAGGTCAAGATCTCATGGTTCGTGGGTTCAAGCCCCATGTCGGGCTCTGTGCTGGCAGCTAGCTTAGAGCTTGGAGCCTGGTTCAGATTCTGTATCTCCTTCTCTCTGACCCTCCTCTGCTCACACTGTCTCTCTCTCAGAAATAATTAAAACATTTAAAACAATTTTTTTAATTTAAAAAAAATATGTTTCAGAAACCCCCATAGAGATTGAGAATATAAGCACTTGAATTAAAAACTATACCCTTTACAAAGAGTAAAACATCTCCATGTACCAGCAGCTCTCCAACAGGAGGAAAAGGGGAATAGTAGTAGGCAGGGAGAAGAGAATCCACTCCCCAACACCTAAATGGTGTTTCAAGAGCATCTCCTGAGCACATATGTAGTCTGAAAATACATTAGTATTGGGGCGCCTGGGTGGCTCAGTAGATTAAGCGAATGACTTCATCTCAGGTCATGATCTCACAGTCCATGAATTCAAGCCCTGCATCGAGCTCTGTGCTGATAGCTCAGAGCCTGGAGCCTGCTTCAGATTTTGTGTCTCCCCCCTCCCCCTGGCCCTCCCCTGTTTATGCTCTGTCTCTGTCTCTCTCTCAAGAATAAATTAATGAAGAGGCCCCTGGGTGGCTCAGTCGGTTAAGCGTCTGACTTTGGCTCAGGTCATGATCTCACAGTTAGTGGGTTGGAGCCCTACATTGGGCTCTGTGCTGAAAGCTAGCTCAGAGCCTGGAGCCTGCTTCAGATTCTGTGTCTCCCTCTCTCTCTGACCCTCCCCTGCTCATGCTGTCTCTCTCTCTCAGAAATAAATAAAACATTAAAAAAAAAGAATTAATGGGGCTCCTGGGTGGCTTAGTCGGTTAAGCGTCTGACTTTTTCTTTGGTCATGATCTCTCAGTTTGTGGGTTTGAGCCCTTCTTTGGGCTCTGTGCTGATTGCTAGCTCAGAGCCTGGAGCCTGTTTCAGAGTCTGTGTCTCCCTCTCTCTCTGATCCTCCCCTGCTCACGCTGTCTCTCTCTCTCTCTCTCTCCTAGAAATAAATAAAACATTAAAAAAAATTAAAAAAAAAAGAATTAATGAAAAAAAGAAAAAGAAAATATGTAAGTATTTATAAATTGTAAAAGTACTTGTCATTTTCTTAACACAAAGTATAGAAATAATCCCAAAATCTTCATTGATAATCATTATGTAACGGTATTCCTTCCTAATGAGTGTGAGCATCTGCCAGGAATCTCCATGGATGAGTGAAACTCTGTGTGTGTCTCTCCATGGATGAGTGGAACTCTGTGTGTGCGTGCGTGCGTGTGTGTGTGTGTGTGTGTGTGTGTGAGAGAGAGAGAGAGAGAGAGAGAGAGAGAGAGATTTTTGCTTGTCAACAAAAGGAGGTATGAATTTTTTTTATGAATAAATCCTGCTTTGATGCATCACAGGTTTCAGCTATGGTACCCTGGAAAACCCAGTAATTCACCATAATTTTGAAATCTATAAAGAATGTTCATTACAAATTAGACACAAGAAAGCTAGTAAACCTTGATCAAGCCTTATTCTCTTAGAAATAACAGTCACACTGTCAATACCATCACATAAAACATGTAAGGCCCTTTACCCAAAGCTCCTTGATAATTTCAAATATGCAATTGTACTTTGAAACTCCTGGAATTAGTAGTCTCAGAATGTGCCAAACACACTGCCCTTCATAATGTTATAAGAGGCATTCTCTTAGCATCCACTTCAGGGAAACCTTAAAATGAAGGACTCTATAATCAGGCTGAAGAGTATTCTGGTGCATGCTAATATAAGACGGAAAGCCTGGTTTCTCTGATTGCAATTCAGCAATTGACTTTTGCTGCTACTCACTGCAACAGATCCTTTAGGCAAACATTTTTTGTTGACCAGATTAATTCTGCATTTTTTAAAACTATAATAGAAACCTAGCAAATTCAAGAGGGAATGTTACATAAGAGGAAATAAAGCAAAATTAATCAGTATAAAGGATTTAACCAAAATAACTATAATTAAATTATAACTTCAATGCTGCAGGCCATTAATTGAAAATCCTACCAGGGGAATGTGTATATTCTCAGAAGTGCATGTGGTGTTAACATAATACCCTCCAAGGCTCCACATTGGTGTCATCATGATTTCCAGATTCACTGCTATAGACTGAATAGGACTTTGCTCATAACTGTGCAGAATTTACATACTTAAGTCACACCAAATCCAAAATACATTAAGGCTTTTGTGGTTTTAAAATATACTTATAGCTGGATGAATAAATTTCACAAGGTTTATGACTGAAAACCTAGAAAACTGCAACATAACAATATATACAGAATGATTCCATTTATGTTAAATCATACATACATAAATCTATGTAAAATATATTTTCTCTATGTGAATTTATGCATAGAGAGGTCCGAAAGGGCATTAATCAAAAATATGTTGACTTTAGGTTTTGAAATTTACTCTCTCCTTTACATTTTTAAAGTTACTTGGGTTTCCTATCAGCATTTTAGTGTTACAAGCAGTAAAAAAAAAAAAAAAAAAAAAAAAAAACTTAAAAGAAACAAAATACTAGAATGTTCAAGGAATAGGTGAAGAATTTATCATTCCAGAAACTTTTCTGAAGACTACCAAGAGCAAAAGAAGATACTTGATGGATGATGTAACTTAAGACATGATTTTTTTTCTAGCTTTGAGATATAACTGGCATACAACATGGTGCAAATTTAAGGTGTACAATGTCTTGATTTGATACACTTATATATTGCAAAATGACTTATCACCACAAGGTTAGCTAACACCCTCACTTTGTCACAGGATTACCATTTCTTTTTTTCGGGTAAGAACATTTGAGTTTTACTCTCTTAGCAACTCTCAAGTACATTGATGGTTCATGAGGGCAGTACTCTAAGTGAAATAAGACAGAGGAAGACAAACACTACAATAGCATTTGAAGTGGAATCTAATAAAGCCAACCTCATAGAAACAGAGACTAAGATGGTGGTTGCCAGGGACTGGGGATGGGGAGATGGCTGGTTAAAGAATATACACTTATTTATAAAATGAAGTTTTGGGGATCTAATGTACACACATGTTGATTATAGTTATAAAATGTGATTCTTACATTAAAGTTTTATGAATCCTTTCTATGGCTTCTTCAAGTTCTTCCTTCTGATCAGGAACAAACCGGTACTCTGACACATAACCTGCAGTATGTTTATATGGGTCGTAATCTCCAAGCTCAGCTAAAAAAGAAATCGTATTTTTTTCCATTTTAGAAAAATATTCCTAAAAATATTTAAAAACACTCCTAGCATGCCAAAACATTTTCTTCAAATGCCTTATTAATAAATTGATACATACTAATTTTAGTAAAAAAACAATTAATGAGTATATACGAATGGCATAAATTAAATCTTCATTTTCATTTCAATTATTCTTACCAGGTTGAAATAAAATGATGTAAACAAAATTTACTGTGCATATATTAGAAAAGCTATAGGCAAAAAGCAATGATGAGAGCAATATATCCTCTCAGAAAAAGGCATCAAGAGATAGAGCATATGATTCAAAATGTATATGCCCCCAACAGTGGTCATGGAAATTTAGCACAATACTTACACATTAGTTTATACAAAGAAGCAAAAATCAAACCAGAAGCTCATTATACTACTTTATTAAAATTTTCCTCCCTATATTAGTCCACCTTCCAAGTCCAACCCAACTCAATTATGTGCTATTTTTCCTAGGATATCTCTTCTAGACCATCTCTGGTCTGGAAATGCCATAAAGTCAAGGCTGTCTTATCGCCCCCATACCTACCTTGATTCCTAGAAAGGACTCAGTATTTGTAAGGGGAAACATCCTCAGCCTCCAAAATGCCAATGCAATGTGGAGCTGCCCCACATGGTTGCCATACTGATGCCAAGAGCTGAAGTGCAATGAGTGACAAAGGTGTCCCACACCCTGAACTGGCACTGGCATCTGACCACAGAGAGTCTTCAAAACAGCTGCCAGGCAGCATTCCGATCTCTGAGGCAAAACAGCTGCGGGGGTGGGGGGGGATGGGGGGTTGTCAATAAAACTCAGGTGGGGGGGCGCCTGGGTGGCTTAGTCGGTTAAGTGTCCGACTTTCACTTAGGTCATGATCTCGCGGTTCGTGGGTTCGAGCCCCGCGTCGGGCTCTGTGCTGACTGCCGGCTCAGAGCCTGGAGCCTGTTTCAATCTGTGACTCCCTCTCTCTCTGACCCTCCCCTGCTCATGCTGTCTCTTGTCTCTCTCTCCTAGAAATAAATAAAACATTAAAAAAAATAAATAAATAAAAATAAAACTCAGGTGGGATGTAGACTAGAAGGGCTTTTCAGACACTCCACTTCATCAAGAATCAGTGTTATTCCTGGGGCGCCTGGGTGGCTCATTCGGTTAAGCATTCAACTTCGGCTCAGGCCATGATCTCACAGTTGGTGGGTTCGAGCCCCACATCAGGCTCTGTGCTAACAGCTAGCTCAGACCTTGGAGCCTGTTTCAGATTCTGTATCTCCCTCTCTCTCTGACCCTCCCCTGTTCACACTGTCTCTCTCTCTCTCAGAAAAAAAAAAAAAAAATCAATGCTATTCCTGTCAATTTGACCTATGACAACGGATATGTAACTGGCTTCACTTGTACATCTTCTGAAAGGACACCGATTAAAACCTGAATCTTGACTAAATATTGTTTTAGGAAAATATCATTTGATAGGAAGGATTTTAATACATAAACTTGCTTAAAAAAAAATTCACATTTTTTTTCTCAATATGCGTCAGTGGAACCTACACTGGATGGCATATGCTCCCAGCTGAGCAGCGACATTGACAGGGCAGGGCAGCCGGCCCTGAAGGACATCTTGCTTCACCTGCAAGAAAAACTGATACCTAAAAGAGAAATGGAAAAAGGAGATTAATGGTATCTTACACTACCCAGCCCTGAAGTTTCAGTCTCTGATAATTACAGCAACAGCCAATCATCTTTAAGGAAAATAAAACCACTTCTGTGCTTTTATGAGGGGGCTGTCGAGTGAACAGGAACTATTTCAACACACATAAGCAATACAGCGTAGTGGCTCAAAAGTGCAGGCTCTCGAGAGACTGGCTGGATTGCAGCATCCCAGCTCCAGTATTCATGTGGGCAGCCGCCGACCATCTCCAACAGCCAATGTCTGTACCTGCCGAACTGGGACAGTGAAGTGTTTACACCTCATGAGGTCAATGTGGAAGTTACATATAAGCTATTCTCACCATTCTCATTATTACCACTGCCACTACTACTATCACATCGCCTTCCTGGGAGGAACAACCTTTATAATGTGTTACCTACAGGCTAAAACCATGAGTACAGGACAAAAAGGTCATTATAGTGCAGTTCCATCAATTCTCATGCCCCTTACTTATGGCTTTCCTCATTCCATTCGGCTAAAACAAACCTGTTATAATAGTGCCATCCACTGTCCCAAATATTGGTAATATAATAACTTATTCTAAGTGTTTTACATAAAATAATTTATTTTAAAATAAGGTCAATACTATTATTGTCTCCATTTTGCAGAATGAAGAAACTAACAAAGAGATGAAGTAAAGTATCTTGTCCAAGATGTCACAACTAGTTAAGTAACAGAGCCAGAACTGGAACCCAGGCTATCCAACTCTAGAACCTCTTAATCAGGATGCTATGCAACTTTGGCTAGCTTCTTCTCCCATCCCCCTCTCCGCCCCCCCGCCCCCCTTCAGTCTTTCTGCCTGTGGAGTAAGGGTGAGAGAAGTCAGAGATATAAGAACCAATACAATGAGCCATCAACACCATCCTCAGCCACCATCACCTACAAAGCAGGCATGCATTCACACACTCATGCCCCAGGCTGTCCTTTGTAATTTCTCTTTCTTTGTAAGCCAAGTCTTGATGTCACTGGGAAGGGCAGGAAAAGGACAAAGGAAATGAATTATAAAAGTCAGATGTATTAAGTTTCTCTTCTCCAAATGCTCACATCCAAAGGCCATAGTGAGGGAATCCAAATGTTAGTTATACTCTCCTTATTTCTAGAAGACTGGTACCAAGTTTGATTACATCCACAAGCTTAAGAAATAATGCTCTTAACACCTGGTGTTTCCTGAATGCCCATTTCAGAAAACAGTACCACAGTCTTGAGATATCCAAGGAACAGAAACCTACCAACAATAGGCAACCCTGGCACACACATTCAGTCACTCAATCTGTTGCTTTTTGGACTCCATACACTTCTCTCCATCTTCCGGTCCAGATCACTATCCACTGGATTTCTAAAACCTTCAGTGTTCTGCCAACATTCACACTTGACTCTCTTCCAAACAACCTTCCCAAGAGGTAAATGAAATTCTTAAGAGAAAAACAGGATCACATCACTCCCTTGACAAATAAGACCTTTAAAATTTTTCATTTTGCTTTCCGAATAAAATTTAGATCCTTAAGAGAGCTTGTGACGTGCGCACCCCCGTCTTGGAGTGGCCTGCCTCAGTCTCCTCTGCAAATGGGCTCTGTGGCCTAGCAGAGGCCCCATCCCTACCCTTGCCACCATTGATCGCGCACCAAGGCCCACAAGAGGTGGCTGCCCCGGTTCCCACAAACCCACAGGCGACAGGACAGCAGTCATCCCTTCTGGCGGCTCTCGCTCCTGGCCACCCATCATTATTACCAGTGCCACCAAGGTTCTACTTCCAGTAACAGCTCCTGGGAAGTACAGGGCATCCTGGGGAAGCCACCCCTTACCACCTGGGTCTCCCCAACACCAACCCAGGTCCTGGTAGGCAAGCTTCTTTTTCAGGAAGTCTACTCTCCAGTCCATGGCTACAGTGTTGGGAGTCTCCAGATTGCTCAGAATCTCCCCAGGCCTCCAGCAGCACCATTATATCTGTGACTTGGCTCTGGAGGCAGGAGGAGGCAGCCTGGTGGCCAGCCTGGCAAGGCAAACCTCTGTCCCCAGTCCTGGGTGGCCACCATCAGCCACCAGGCTTTAGGAGGTGCTGGGCTCATCAGAGCCCTCCCTTCTCCTCCCCTCTGCTACCCACTCCTAGGCAGGAGGAGAAGCTGCAGTGAGCAAAAGTGGTTGTTGGATTCTTTTATAGCAAAACACCAAAAAGGAAGTTGAGAGAACCCCACTCTTTACTCTCCAAGCCATACTCAAGCCTTCCTGACACCCTGTAACCCTGTGGCTTGCACCAAGTGAAACATAAACTACAAACAACCAGTTTAAAAATAAATCCTTGGAAGACTTTTGCTTCTTGCGCCAAAATCTCTTGCCATTAACCAACAACTATCTCTACTCCCTAACTTGCATTTACTTTTCTAGCCCTGCTTAACTACTCCCCATACCTGAATGTTCATTTTGGGTATCAAATTCACTTTGTTATAATCATCTTGAGGAGGAAAAAAGCAGAGTAAAGTACTATTAGCAGAACTCAAATACAAAAGCTTATACACGGAAGAGACATTTTGCCAGAATTACTACTGCTTGCTGGAAATTAACATTTATTTAGCTATATTCTCTTTCTCTATTGTTAACTTGGAATTTCTTTTCCCGAAGTGTATTTTTTTTTTAAAGGAAATGGGTCACAGATGCATATTTGTCTTGTTCTATTAAGACTTCTATAACATCTGACTGAACAGTCAAATCGCTTGCCAAATACAGAAACAGAGGGACCTAATCCCACAAGAGTTTGCTTCAAAGAGAAAAGGAAAGAGAAACAGAGGCAGATGGAAAAACAAAAAACTGAAACAGAAAGACAAACAGATACAAAGAAATCGACCATATCCCATCAGTGACTGTAGTCCCAGTACCTAGGTCTGGCACATAGTAATCTCTCAATAAATAGTTGTTGACTTGATGGATGGATATACACATGAATAAGTAGACAGATGGCTGAAATGGAAAAAACTGAACACTCTTTGCTGTTTCTGAAATATTCACAAAGAAAAGAAAAAAGGACATCTGTTCAAACTTCTCTGGACAGCCTCCCTTTTAAAGATACTACAGATCTTTAAGTCACTGCATTAAAGAAAAATACACTAAAATCAAAAGACAAGTAAACTATTTTTAATTAAGAGTTTGCTTAATCTTTATCACAGCAAGCATCAATTAGTTTTTTTATAAGACAAATTGATGATACAGTAAAATTGTATTTTCATATGTTAAACAAATATTTTATCATTATGTCAGGGACTATTATAACTAACTGCATATAACCTATTTAGTCCATTTTAAGGGACTTGGTGTGCAATTTAATATTTTATTTAAATCACAAATTTAGAGTTGGGGAGTCTTTCCCTCTGTCACTTTGATGAAGGCTATGATTGGATGCTTGGGTCCTTTATATCTGTAGTTTTTTTAAAAAATATTTTTATTTATTTCTAGGAGAGAGAGAGACAGTGTGAACAGGGGAGGGTCAGAGAGAGAGGGAGATACAGACTCTGAAACAGGCTCCAGGCTCTGAGCTGGCAGTCAGCACAGAGCCCGATGCGGGGCTCGAACCCACGAACCGCGAGATCATGACCTAAGCGAAAGTCGGATGCTTAACCAACTAAGCCACCCAGGCGCCCCTATATCTGTAGTTTTAATTAGGGGGAAACTGCAGGCCAGTTTGCCTTGGATAGATCTTCTTCATGCCTGTTATATATGTGTAACTATTAATAGCTCCTCTCATCATTCTCCAAAGTGTGAGGGTTTGGATGATCAACTATACCGTGACCCTGGTTACACTGTACCCCTATTGGAGAAAAGGAAAATGCACATTAAAAATGATCCACTTAATAAAGGAAGTTTTCCAGGCATTCTGGTGCAGAGGAGGCTTCATAAAGCAGGTATTGGCTATGTTTTCATGTAAATTAATATCCTGGTATATATACACTGTCTTCCAGGATAGATCATGAGCCTTGGAGTATAAAAAAGCTGGGTCTGTTGTGGGGATGAGCACTGGGTGTTATATGGAAACCGACTTGACAATAAACTATCTGTATAAAAAAAAAAAAAAAAAAGCTGGGTCTTCTACCCTGTCCACACTTAACCACACTACACCCAGTACAACACAAGTGAAGGGCTTAAAATGCTGGCTTCATGGTTTTCTGCTTACCTGACATTCACTGAAAAGAGCTGAGTTTACACCAAGGATGTACAAGCTGTTGAGCACCATTAATAATTTAGCAAGTATCAGAGGCTTCCTTCAAGAAGGGACAGAGATACCCCATTCTTTCCAGAGCTCAAACACAAGGTTCCCTGAGATTCAGTGGCCAAAGACATGCTTACATCGACACGCCTGAAGCACACCGTCCGGTGACATGGGACCCTGGTGAGGAAACAGCAATCTGGGGACGGGGAGCAGTTTGATTTCAGTGCCAGGTGAATTTGACACTGAAGAATCCAAGAGGAGAGTAGCTACCTACAGGGAAGCAGGATTGTTTTCTGCCTCCCACACAGAGGGAACTAGCATGTGATAAGAGCCTAATCATTTTATATAAAACTTTAATGTGAAGGACAGAGGTAAATGTTTATGATATACATAATATTGAACACTGCGGGGGGAAAATGGCATGTACTGCTTAAGAAGGAGAAAAATAGTAGAGGAAGCACACACTGATTCTCAAGAAAAAGTGACAAGATTAGGAATAACACTTATCTCAGAAGCATAAAACTGATGATTACAATACAGAAACAAGTAGCAATAATACCACCTTACATTTGTATAGTCCTTTAAAGTTCACAGATTTCTTGTGAATCCATACCAGAATTAACCCTTGTTTCTTCTCTGCTGTATTGAAGACCCTTATCTTCACTTAGAGGAGACAGAGACTCTGGACATGAACATGTAGCTGCAAGCCACTACTGGTAAAGAAGCTAAAACAAACTCATCTTCACAATGTGAAAAATAGGGATTGCCATATTAAAATAATAAAATAAAATAAATAAGCTTAATGTCGGTCTCCAAAGACTACTCTAAAACATTACAAAATAAAATTAAAAAACCAAATGCCTATTTTTAGAAGCTAAAAAGTGTCCATTATGAATGAATCATCTGCAACATTATTTTCTTTTTTAGAAACTGTTCTTAGATCCTTGAAGGTTCAGAAAGATTTCAGTGACATCACAGATAGGGTTGTCCAGCAAAGCAGTGCACAGTCTCTCTGTCCTCTCTCTCTGCAAGACTGAAATTCTCTCTTTGGTCACTAGTGAATCTCCTTGGTATTCAGGGCACTGGACACAGTTCTCCATGTAGTTATTAAGTGAAGGGAGGGGAGTGAGTGAGTTCTGTCCTTACATACAAATTCAAGAAATGGACACAAGAGGACAGTTGTAGGAGAATTCATCATTAAATGAACAGGTATACCCAGAAAGTTGTGACTGGCGGACTGACTTTAAGCTGGAAGACCCATCTCGGGGCTCCAATCCAAAATGGTCTTCTCCTCTGTAATTATTTAATTATCAATGATTTAAAAACATAAAATACCTATCATTATTTGTAATTCAGCTACCCCTACCATCTATGGAACACTTAACATTTTTGTGTTATGGTCAGTACTTGGCCTGTATTAGTTTATATATTCCTTTCATCATCTTTTTGAAAAAATACTTTAATTCATTTTTGCAGATGAGAAAACTGAGACTTTAAAAGGTTACAAAGTTTTCTAAGTTTTCTCAAATTTACACTGCTAATGAGTGGCAGAGCAAGGATGCAGACCTCAGCCTGTCTGACTCCAAAGCCTGTCTTCGTGTGATACTTATCAAGTGTGCAGGGGATACAGAGCTATGAATGAACCAGAATGGGTGGAAGGCTGTTGTAATATTTTGAATCAGAATTAATAATAGGTTTAACATATACCATGAGGACACAAATGATTTAAAGAGCTGACGAAGGGAAGAGACTTTAGATAGCATTAATTTTCATATCAAAATTTATGAACAACCTAGGAGCCAATACAACAAAGGCTAGAACAGTTTTCCAGAGAAGTGAAGCAAGATAAATGTTCAACTTGCAAATGCTGACCTAAGTATACTTTTCCGTTAAGAGAATATATTGGGAGATTTGGGGTTTGGGTTTTAGTTTCGCTTTTACCAAAATTATCTCATGCAACTGACTCCCTTTTTAAGGTCCATTATACCTATACATTTAAATCAACATACTTGTGCAAATTAATGACTTTATCTTCAGGACATTCTAAAAATCAGTATGTAGTGTTATATTGAATCATATTGAACTTACCTAAGTTCAACTATATGCTCTGGGCAACAAAAATAAATTAGTTAGATCATGGCTACTAGCTGGAAGCCAACTCTGTAATCTGGTTCTTAGCTACATGACCTGGTCTAATATGTGAGGAAAAGGAGATTGTAGTGATTATGCTGTGAGGTTGTGTATTACCCACAAATCCATACATTCTGCTAATGAGCTGGTAGTAGATTCTGAAAGGAAATTTCTGTTCATAATATTTGGTGAACAGATTTAAAATAATGCATTCTAAAACACTCATTTCCCTCTTCATGAACAATAAATCGAGTATCTTTTGGAACCCAATCTTTACTTAAGACTGCGAGAGCGAGGAGAGAATGAAATAGTAAGCACTACCATTTATCAAGCACTTACTGCCCCAAACACAACCAATGAACACAAGCTTTATATTATTTTTAGTACATCATTTCATGTTTATAAAACCTTATGAGACAGGTATACCTCCAATCTTACAGGTGAGGAAAAGTGAGACACAGAGAGGTTACTGAGAACCTCAAAACGAAGGACTTTCCTGATATTTTCATTAAATGTTACTTCCTTGCAATTTCCTAATAAGTTACAAAAATGGGTGTGTGTGTTTGGGTGTTTACTGCTTGGATTCAGTTCCCCCATGAGGCCACAATTCAGAAATCCTTCAACTGCAAAGACTATTCATGAAGTTCCAATGTAAATATGACCTCTCTCCTTAATTCCTTCCCAACACAACGGCCCTTCCCCCATAGAGGTGTGCTCCCGGAACAGCTCTTCTTTATAAAGTGGTCCTCTATAAAGTGGTGATGGAAGAGGTGAATGCAGCGTGGTGCAGTTCTAAAAATGAGGCCTAATTACAGCACTCCAGAGAGGCACAGGAAAGATCCACTTAGCCTGCTATCTTTTCACTCTGTGTGTGCAGTCTGGAATCAAGACCAAAAAAGTGTAAGGCCAATCATGAAGGAATGGAATAGGAACAAAACCACAGTCTACCTTTATTATCAAAGACACAATTTCCAAGGTTTTGAATAATGCATTCAGCTTTCCTTGAGCCAATGATATGGGTTCACTAGGAATACTGACCACTTAAGTCAGGGAAAATGCTTTTGTTTGCTATCACGTGCAGTTAGGTTGCTAGCGGAGTTAAGTGAAATCCTAACACTACTACCTGCTCTTTATAAGCCACTTTCAAATGTTGGCATGGACTATTTTAATCATAAAATCAACAGCAACTTGAAATTCTGCCTTAACTGAAATAAAATATTTGATGACAAAGGTGAAAGAATACACTGTGAAACCTTGTTGGGGTTTTTTTTTCCTCCCTTATACTGAAAGCAATTATCTTTTCATTTCCTATGGAGATAAATGAAAGCCCTGGACATTTCACATTTAAGCTATAACCAAATAAAGAGAAATAACTGGCTCTTCAAATTTGTATTTACATATGCAAAATGAGTATCAAAATATCCTTCTTTTACCAGTTCAAATGGCTACTTTCACGGGACTACAAAGGCTGAATGCAGCCTTCACAATAATGATACAGAATATCCCATCACAGCAGATGCAAAATCTATCATCATGTCACCCAGGTTCATGCCATTGTTCACACACATCTATCATCAGACACTGATCTGCCTCATGCAATGCTAGTTTAAATTTAACTCTCAGTGGAGATGCATTACAAAACAAGGTAGACACATATCCAAATGTCTGACCCCAGTTTGTATTAAATAAAGCCTTTGTATATGCCATACGTGTATTGTTCAAAAGTAAAGTCAATACTATACCTGGTTATTTCTTCTTTAAGCTTACATGGATCTTCAGCATAGAATTTAATACCAAAATACAAAGTATATGGAGGTCCAGCTAAAATAAGAAATAGAAATTAAATTTTATATTACAAATTAGTCAAAGTAGAAGTATATCATACAACTATTAAAAATTACACTCACCAAAAATATTTACAAATTACATATTAAATAGGGGTAAATATCCAAAATAGGTGAGGAACTCCTATAAGTCAATAGCAAAAATCAAATGACCCAATTTAAAAATGGGCAAAGGACCAGAATAGACATGTTTCCAAAGAAAACATACAAATGTCCAACAAACACATGAAAAGATACTCAACATCACTAATAATCAGGGGAATCCAAATAAAAACCATGAGATATCACCAGACTCCTGTACGAATGGCAATTAGCAATGACAAAAGCGTTGGTGAGGATATGGACAAAAGGGAACCCTTGTATACTGTTGCTGGGAATGTAAATTGGTTCAGCCGTAATGAAAAACAGTATGGAAATCCTCAGAAAATTAAAAAGAGAACTACAATATGATCCAGCAATCCCACTACTGTGTGTTTATCCAAAGAAAATGAAATGAGGAGCTCAAGGATGTATCTGCTCTCCCATGTTCATTGCAGCATTAATCATAATAGTTAAGACATAAAAGCAAGGTGTCCATCAGTGAATTAATGGACTATGTATATATATATATATCCCATAACACACACACACACACACACACACACACAATATGGAATATTATTCAGCCATAAAAAAGAAAGAAACCTTCTCATTCGAAGACAACATGTATGAACCTGTAGAACACTATGTAAGGTAAATAAGCCAGACACAGAAAAAAACAAATACTGCCTGATCTCACTTATATGTGGAATCTAAAATAGTCACATACATAGATGCAGAGAGTAAAATGGTGATGGCCAGGGACCTGGGAGGGAGAAATGAGATGTTGGCCAAAGGGTACAAAGTTTCCGTTATGCCAGATGAATGCTTGCTGGTGATCTAATGAACAGCATGGTATTTATGGTTAATGATAACACACACATACACATATGCACGCAACTATGCAGAAGTGATAGATAAGTTACTTAACTTGACTGTGGTGATCTTTTCATGATATATACATATATTGAAACATTAAACTGTGCACCTTAAATTTATATAATTTTTATATGTCAAAGGTACCTCAATAAAGTTGCTTTAAAAATTACACTCATGGGGTGCTTGGCGGGGGCTCAGTCCGTTAAATGTCTGACTCTTGATTTTGGCTCAGGCCATTACCTTGTGGTTCCTGGAATCAAGCCCCACATCAGGCTCTGTGCTGGCAGTGCAGAGACTGATTGGGATTCTCTCTCTCCCTTTCTCTTCCCCTCCCCCACGCACACATGCTCTCCCTTCCTCTCTCTCTTAAAATAAATAAACTTAAAAAAATTATACTAAGAACTTTTAGACACCCAAGAAAATATAAAATAAAAGATAGGATTGAGAATTCTGTAACAGTAGGACTTCAACTATGCATATATCTATGTAGGTATATATTTATGTGTTCATAAACACAGAAAAAAAGACAAGATCAAATATATTGAATGTTGCCAGTTCTGATCTCTGGTTAGTGAGATTACAATTTTTTATTATTCATAATTTCCCTATTTTTTACATTTTATACAACATACATTGTTTATAATAAAGAAAAATTAATAATAAAACAAATGGCTTTTTAAACTACCCACCTGTTACTATTGCAAAAAGCACAAAAATAGGCATCTGTAAAAAGTTAATACAGAAAATGGATATAGTATTCAAACTTAAAGGCTTAGTAGCAGGTGGACCATTTATGTCAACCACAGGAAGTATATATATGGTACCATGTGACTGTTTAAATGGGGGAGAGGGAGAACTCTATGTGCTGATTGGGAAAGATTACTAATCTAGTACTGATGGCAGAAATATGGTCCCCTTTGTGAAAAAGAAAGTTATTAAAATATGTATTCTGCCCAGACGAACATACAAGAAAGGACTAACACTGGCAAACTTTGGTAAGAACTGGAAATGTTTTTTCCACAGGTTTCATAAAGTATAACTGAAAAATTAAATTGCAAGACATTTAAAGTATGCAGTGTGATGATCTGCTACACATATACATTATGAAAGGACTCTCCCTATATAACACATTCGTTCCTCACATATTTACTTTTTTTCCTTTTTCTGTGAGAACACTTGAATTTCACTCTCAGTAAATCTGATCATTTTCTTTCTATATGTATCTCTCACCTTTTTAAGAAAAAAAAAAAGATCATCAGTGAGGCTACGGCTATATGGCAGGATTATAAGCATATTTGTCTCATTCCCAAACTTTTCTGAGTCTAAGAATATGGGTCTTTGAATTTTATTTATTTATTTATTTATTTATTTATTTATTTATGTTTTTTGGAGAGAGAGGGAGAGAGTAGGGGAGGGGCAGAGGAAGGGGAAGAGAGAGAATCTCAAGCAGGCTCTGTACTCAGCATGGAGCCTGATGGAGGGTTCGATCTCATGACCCTGGGATTATGACTCTGAAATCATGAGTCAGACACCCAACCGACAGAGCCACCCAGGCACCTCTAAGAATGTGTTCTTATATATTTGAGAAGACATTTCTCATCTCAGTCATTTATTACACACAGAAGAACAATGTGGACAAATAGCAAATATATATATGAAATAAAGCTGGAATTGTACTTACACAGGGAAACAAAATATAATTCAACATTCATATTGTGTAAGAGGACACAAGCCCCTTGGGTGCCAACAATATCATATCAGGTTCTCACTAGAAATATTTCTATTTCAGAGGGTCTGAATCTAACAAGTACTGTTTCCAAAACTTCTGCACAGTTTAGTAACTAGATCTTATATTAAATCTGTTTTAAAATGTATTTCTTACCTGGTATATTAATCAATGGTCATAATTTCTAATTTTTTTTTTCAATAAAAGCTCTCCCACACAAAAAAAGATGTCAAGTAGACACATCAGTAAAAATATTTCCACCTACATATTGTGACCCCAAGTCTCTGATACTGTATAACTGACACAAAGTAATCCTAGTCTTTCTATTTTCATTTTTAATGAGTAGGAGAAAAAGGGACAAATTTAGAGGCTAGGGAAAGGAAATTAAACTGAACAGGTCATAAAGCCTTAATGCATTTTTAATATACAGACTTTGTTATTACTTATTGTTATTATGACACACATGTGCTGTATCTGTGGAACCCCAAAGCCCCGTTCCTGGCATACAGAAGTTAATCGACAATAGGGCCTTGCTCCTCTCCCCTTATCTATGCCTTTCTGGACAAGGAGTTCCTTAAGATAGAGCTTTTTTAAAAACTGAATTAAAAAAAAAAATTTTGTTATAATCTTATCATTAGAGTTGATTCCATATGTTTGAGGTCTATGATCATTTAATCACTATGTTTATATTTCTGACAAATACGCCTTTACCCCTGAACATAGGTGTCAGGGAGGCACATATTATTAAATATTTAGAAGAACCAGGAAGTCCACCGTCTGCTGATCCATCTCTGTCAATCAGGCTCTGTGTTGCTGAGCAGATGGGTTTGCCTGTGCCTGCAGGCCACGGGGGGCCTGGGACCTAGGGGCTGGGAGGAGCACAGATGCTGTGGAGACAGTGCACAAAGGGAAGAAGGCCCTGTCCAGATTCCAGAGTTGCTTTTATTCTCTGCAATGTGACAGATTACACCCAACTGACCAAGCCTAGCCATTTCAAATGTGCTTAGTGCTGAGCAGTTAAGCAGAAGTGTGAAAAATACACAATTAAAAACACTCAGTTTTGGCAAATTTTCTTTAAGGACTTTTGGCCAAAATCAGCCCTCTACTTCCTACTTGCATATAAAATGTATGTGTTCTAAATATAAGGCATCACTATAATTTGAATACATTTGATAATGTATAAAAATATTTCATAAACATGTGATTTTGCACAACCACCTGGTAACATAGGGAAGATAGGAGAATATCTAAAGTGGCAAATAATATGTCTAAGATCACGAGGTTGAGAACCAAGTTTCCTAATACCTAGAGTCCAGTGCTTTCTGGTCACTGTTCCTTATAGCCTCTCAGGGAAAAGAATTATAATACCTTCCAAGTAAGCAAATGCTTTCATACACATCACCGTTTTATAGATCAATCTAAGACTATGGATATGGACACTCTGGAGCCAGGATATGTCTGATCAGATATTTTTGGCTTCCTGTTCTAAGACTGACTATCAATATTAGGCACTGATGAAGCAAACTCCTAAGTTATTATTATCTTGAATCTCTGTCTTTCAATAGAATCTACCTTCAAGAAATCTTCCTGTAAAGTTAATACTGTTTACTTTAGCAAAAAATACAAAAGACTGAAAATGGAAATACTCTACTATACCTTTTGTGACTAAATTTCAAAGCTTTAATAGTAATAAGTCTTCAATGAGAAGCATAAATAAATCAAGACTCACCTATGAGAATCCTGGTGATTAGCAAATACTTCATCATTTTTACAGATTTCTGACTAACCTACTTGAGGCATGAGAGCCATTTTCCTTCATTAATTATCAAATTATTTCATGAGATTAAATATAAAGTTTATGTATTCTTTAGTTACATCATCTTCCTTCACTATCAGTGTTTTGTTCTTACCGTACATCAAATTTTTGATAGTAAGTATTTATTTAGGATTAAAAAACAATTATACAGATTATAGGTATTTAAAAATTTCTTCATACTATGTGAAGAAATAAATACTTCAAATGTACTTAGGAACACTAATCATGCACCTTAAATAATTTAGCTTTCTTTATCACTTGGATAGAAATCTCAACTTATTAATAAAAATCCTGTGAGTTTGTTTTAAAATAATCATTCCTGATATTTTTCTAATTTTTAAACTGGTATTTTTTTAAGTATTTCGCTCAAACAGACAAGACAGATTTACTGTATTTATTACTATACCTGAATTTTGGAGGGAAAGTACAGATTTCTACATCCGGAAGGATGGCACTTTTTAAATTGGAATTCCCACCATTTAAATGCAGATACCTCATGGAAGTTACCTGCATTCATACCTTGTTGTATCTTCATCCCTCCCCACCTGGCCTTTAGTAGGCAGCTCATGCAGGGAAAGTACTAGAAACACAGAGGCACCGGAAGTCAGAAGACTTCTGCTACCAACTAGCTTCTCACCCATGGCAAGTTATGAACGACTTATGAATTAGGACTTACTCCTGTGTAGGCTGAGTAAGCAGAATTTGGTGATGTCTAAGGTACATATTTTGAGGGTTATTTGTCACCCCCACAGGCTGACAGCAAGCCCCTGTTTCTGAACTGGTCTCTTGGTCTCATCCAGAAGCTGGCCCCCTGGCAGCTGTGTTTGTATCAACCTTGAAGAAGCCCAGGTGTAGCTGAGCAGACTGAAGTGAGCTCCTGACTCAAAATGGGGTGGTCAGATGAACCCCTCCCATAGGATCGGGGACCTGCATTCAGAGACAGCTTATGGCTAGAGCTGTAACCTGGAAACTGTGAAGGCTTCCCCCATACACATGGATAAACACAGAGAAACAGAAATGGTGCTGATGTTCAGTCAAACAGCACTTGCTGAGTTCCTGACAGTTTTGTAATTCTTAGTTCCCAGTTCCTTTCTGAGGCACAGCTTTGTTCCTGCCCTTCGGGTTCGTGAAGCGACCAATTTTATCACCAGAAATAAGCCAATAAACATGTGAAATACAGATTCAGAATGGGGACAGGGGAGGGTCATACAGGCCCAACAAATCTACTACATCTTATTAGAAATGATTTTCATATAAAAGCAAAATGGTTTTTTTTTGTTTTGTTTTTTTAATTTTTCTTTTCATTTATTTCTAGGAGAGAGAGAGAGAGACAGCGTGAGCAGGGGAGGGTGTCAGAGAGAGAGGGAGTCACAGACTCTGAAACAGGCTCCAGGCTCTGAGCTGGCAGTCAGCACAGAGCCCTATGCGGGGCTCGAACCCACGAACTGTGAGATCATGACCTAAGCGAAAGTCGGACGCTTAACCAACTAAGCCACCCAGGCGCCCCAAAAGCAAAATGGTTTAATAAGTATAAAGTTTCAGTTTGGGATGATGAAAAACTTTTGGAGACAGTAGTAACAGTTGCACAATAAATGTATTTAATGCCACTCAAAAGTGGTTAACATAGTACATTTTATGTTATATATTTTATCATATTTTTAGAAGGATAATTAAAATATAACTACCTTTTGTATACTTAAGGATCACATGTATGTGCACACGTGCATATACTTTTATAAATAAATATCTGTGTTATGGAAATTAAAGTTATGGAGTATAACCTTAATTATACTCTCAGTTACTTAATAATAAGATTCATATTGGTAAAACCAAAAGGTAACCCCTATAAATAGATGGATCCTTTCTGCAGTCAAAGAAATCTTTCAGGACACAAGAGTAGTCCTTAATTACTGCCTCAGCAAATAAGAGTGTGAATGACAAAAGCACCCTTTAATCCAAGAAACTCAAGCTCTTTAGAAGATCAGATGTCCATAAGAAGATGTGGTTTATATATACAGTGGAATACTACATGGCAATGACAGAGAATGAGATCTGGCCATTTGTAGCAACATGGATGGAACTCGAGGGTATTATGCTAAGTGAAATAAGTCAGGCAGAGAAAGACAGATGCCATATGTTTTCACTCATTTGTGGATCAGGAGAAACTTAACAGAAGACCACGGGGGAGGGGAAGGGGAAAAAATAGTTACAGAGAGGGAAGAAAGCAAACCATAAGAGACTCTTAAATACCGAGAACAAACTGAGGGTTGATAGGAGTGGGGGAGAGGGGAAAATGGGTGATGGACATAGAGGAGGGCACTTGGTGGGATGAGCAATGGGTGTTATATGGAAACCAAACTGACAATAAGCTATATTAAAAAAAATAAATTTAATTTAATTTAATTTAATTTAATTTAATTTAATTTAAAAAAAGATCAGATGTCTACCCTTTTTTCCAAATCAATGCTGCTCTACTTTTTCTGTTTTAAGATGAAATTTTAAAGACAAGAAAATTTTTGAAATCACTGACAAGGACAGGCATACATAAGCCAAATTCAATATTAAGATCCACTCAGATTCTTTACAACCTAAAATTTATTCAGAGTTTGGAGTCAGAGTCTGGCAATGAACACAATACCCACTTCCATATTCTGGTACTTGAGTACTAGTACTCATTCCTGTAGTACTAAAGCATATTTCTGCATCCAAGTAATCACGGACATTGTATCATATTCAAGGCACCCCTTAACAAAATTAACATTAAATACCTACTGTTGATTAGTTCTTTGTGTTCAGCAAGGGTTTTTGCAGGATCCAGCCAATACTGTGAGGGGGGGAAAAAAAGGGTGATTATAGAAATTAGTTGTTTTTCATTGGCCTTCACTTTAAGAATATTTGTCAAGTGTTATTTGAAATGACATTTAAATGCTTAATAAATATTGAACTTATTACATACATACAGAAATATACACAGAGCTTTCTGTAGCCAGAACGCTAAAAGAAAAACGACATCAGAGAGAAGCAGGGAAGAGAAACCGTAGTTGTAGGTTCTTGGGTAAGTTCTCATGCTGATTATAAGGTGGTTAATTTCAAGATGTTGATGAGCAGGAAAACAATGGCTGCAGAGAATGCTCCCCAAGTCTCTTTCCAAAGTCCCCATCACAACCACCCTACAGCCATTTCTCCTTCAAACGTCCTCACCCTCTTCACTTGCTGTCCCATCCCTTACAGGTAGTACTGCTAGATGATAGGAAGAAAGCAATCCAATTAAAGCAAATCCTCATTAATCCTCCAGGAAAGGCAAGTCAGCACAGTGGCTGAGGGTCCCAGCCCCAAGCAGACCCAGCTGGATTTGGTCCTGGCTCTCCCCTTGTCATCACTGCGGAACCTGGAACAAGTTACTGGACTTCTCCAAACATTCTTCATAGGCTTGCGGTGAGGATTAAATACATGAATTCCTAACATCTTCAGAATAGTCCCTGGTTCATACTAAATATGCAGCACATGCTAGTGATGATTATTATTAAGGTCTGAGGGTCAAATTCTTAGTAAATGTCTTTAGCCAATCTAAGGCACTTGCTTATTAATTCAAGTTATTAATCTTTGAGGAACAGAAATTTAGATAGTAATGGGAGAATTTTTGGCCCTGGTGAGAGGCCATCCTTAAATCTTACGTTTGTGAAATAAAATCACTTGAAAAAAAAAAAAAGAGGAACAATCCTTCATCCCTGTCTCTCTGTCTGGGGGAACAGCAAGGGAGAAGCAATGAAGCAGAGGGGGGAGCACTGGGGACTCTCACAGAAGTGCACAGTGGAAGGGATTCCAGTGCCCTGCGGTCAAGGGTAGGATGTCCCAAGGGCCAAACTGACCAGTTTCCGTTTTCAAACATTCCTAAATGAAGAAGAGGTGATTCTCACAGCAGGGAGTAGGAGCTGGCTCTCCTAGAGCCACTCTATTCCCAGCACTTTTGTGTTTACCGTGGTGAGAACATTCACACTCTCCTGACATCTCCGGGTCAGGAATCACAGTCACAGGAGGATCCAAGAGGATTTCCTGCCCGGTACCCCCTCCCTGCCCCCTCACTGAGGGAAGAAGTGCCTGATGTGTTGTACAACAGTAGCAGTAAGTACAGCATAATTGTAATTATCTTATGCAACCCCCTTACCTCTTATTCCTATAACAATTATTCACACTAAATGTATGTCATTGTCATATTATTTTAAGATTTTATTATGGTACTGAACTCTATCTCCTGTATGTATCATCTTCACTATTTGCTACTCATACAGCAATTTCTGTTTTTCAACTTTTTTAAAAGGCAAAGTAACCAATATATATAAGTGTAGCCACTTATAACACAATTCTCATTATTCTGATCCTTATCATTTCTCAATTTTTAGAGGTATAGAATCATTCATTTTTTTTTTTTACAAATAGTTTGTCAAATTAGTTTCCACATAACACTCAGTGCTCATCCCCACAAGTGTCCTCCTCCGTGCCCATCTCCCCTCCCCCCCCACATCCATCAGTCCTCAGTTTTTGTCAGCATTCAAGAGTCTCTCATGGTTTGCCTCTCTCCCTTTCCCCCACCATTTCCGCCCTTCTTCTCCCCCTTGTTCCTCCGTCAAGTTCCTCCTAATCCTCCTATACGTGCAAACATATGATATTTGTCCTTCTCTGCCTGACTTATTTCGCTCAGCATAACACCCTCAAGGTCCATCCATGTTGCTACACATGGCCAGATTTCATTGTTTCTCATTGCCATGTAGTATTCCATGGTATAGATAAACCACATCTTCTTGATCCATTCATCTGTTGATGGACACTTAGGCTCTTTCCATGTTTTAGCTATTGTGGAGAGTGCTGCTATGAACATTGGGGTACATGTGCTCCTATGCCTCAGCATTTTTGTATCCCTTGGGTAAATTCCTAGCAGTGCTATTGCTGGGTCATAGGGGAGTTCTAGTGTTAGTTTCCTGAGGAACCTCCACACTGTTTTCCAGAGGGGCTGTACCAGTTCACATTCTCACCAACAGTGTAGGAGGGTGCCCATTTCTCCACATCCTCGCCAGCATCTAGAGTTCTCTGATTTGCTCATTTTAGCCACTCTGACTGGTGTGAGGTGGTATCTCAGTGTGGTTTTGTAGAATCACTCATTTTTAAGATAAAGGCATTTGGGGGAGCCTGGGTGGCTTAGTTGGTTAAGCTTCCGACTCTGGCTCAAGTCATGATCTCACTGTTCATGGGTTTGAGTCCCATGTTAGACTCTATGCTGACAGTTCAGAGCCAGGAGCCTGCTCTAGATTCTATGCCTCCCTCTCTCTCTGCCTCTCCCTCCCTCTCTCTTTCTCTCTCTGCCTCTCAAAAATAAACATTAAAAAATAAAATAAAATAAAATAAAATAAAATAAATAAAGGCATTTGAAGCATAGGCTGAAATCTGTTAACTGCTTTCACAGCTCACATATGTAATGTGATGTGGTTTTGGTGTTATAATAATGGATCCTAGGGATATACTGGTTTATCCAAATATACAATCAATCCAAATGTTAAGCTGTGTGTTGAACACAGAGCAGACCCTTTCCCTCTAAGTATATAAAGCTATGGATGCTTCCTATAACATGGAAACAGGATGCCATTCATGTTCAATAAAAGTTTTGACTACTCCTGGATTTTTACAAAGAGGATAAATCCAAGAAAAACACACACAAATAACCATAAACATTTGCATTGGGTTTTACTTGCTGTCATAACAAGTTATTATAAACTTAGAGGCTAACAACAATGTCCATTTATTATCTCCAAGTTCTGTAGATCTTGGAGCAAAGTTAGTTTCTCTGCTCCAAGGCCAAAATCAAGGTGTTAGCCATCGGAGGTTCTTGAGGATTACTGGCCATTAGAAGCCCTCTCAGTGTCCCTAGATGTCAAGGCACACATAGTATGAGGTCTTCGTTTCAGCCCTACATCAATCACATCTATACATGAAGCTTTACCAAGTGCTTGGGACAGGAAAGGAAGGGATAAAATGGGCCCCGGGTTTTACGGTTTTCTGTGTAATCTCAACTTGAAACTAACAAGAAACAGAATTTTGAAGATAGCCTCCTGTTCTCTCCTCCTAACATCATCATCCCAAGAAAACAAACTTTACAAAAAGATTCTTTAATTCATTTTTTGTTTTGATTTGCTTCCAGGGTATTTTTAAGTTATTAAAAAAAAAACAAACCAGAAAGCTTTTAACTAAATGTAATAAAGACTGGTTAACATGGGGAAAACCTCCCATCAATGATAATCTATATCATTTTAAAATGAATCTCTTTCTCGAGAGCAATCAGATTTGTGTGGTGACAAAGTACGATAAAGGTTCTGAGATGAGTTAGAAATTACACTTCTGCAGCAAAAAAGGGAGTCAGGATAGTCAAAGGCTGTTCAATCAGCTCAGTGCACATTAAATATGCTAGGCGTCAATCCAGCGCTCACCGCACACAAATCTCATTTGATCCAAATGGAAACCAGGGGTTACTGAGGTCAGACGATGATAAATGCACCAGAACATAAATAATAAACATGAGCCACCAGTTTCACAAGCTAACATCTTAAAATGTAAAACCCACTGACACTCAACCAAGAGAAAGAAATGACCTTGGAACCAAGGAGCCATACTATAATGGCCCTTGTCATGGCTCATTATCAAAAAGCCATCAAACATAGCACGTGTCTGATCACCACAAAACACATCAGGCCCCCAAAGTCAGAAAGTAAAGAGGGCACAAGAATTTGCCAATGAAAACGATACTCCAGTTTTGAGGCCTACATCCAGAACTCATGTAGGCTCTAAAACTGGGATATCATTCATTCAACCACCATTTATGGAATAGCCACTATACATGTTTTTTCTATGTCATGTCAGACCCTATCCTGGGGCATATGGGGAAACAAAGACTCAGCTCTGAGGCACTCAGAGCCTAACAAGAGACACAGACACAGAATTACAATACAATATGCTAAGTGAGATAATAATGTATATGAGATAAATACGTTTGAGATGACAAAATTCTATACTAAAAACATTAGTTCTGCAGGGTAAGTGTAGGAAAGCATCACTGAAGAGAAAAACTTTGAAGAGCAGTTCACGAATTAAAAAAACTTTTCCAAAATACAGAAATGGAGAACAGAGCCATAAATTTTTATCAAGAGGATATTTACCAACTCAACAGCTCATAAAGCAAATACGTTTTTAAAATTTAAAAGCATTTTTAAGTGACAACACAGAACATAATACTTCAAGTTCTCTCCAGCTGAACATGACTTTGAAACCAGTGTTGCCCAACAGCTAACAAACACTCAGCTAAGAAACCAACGTTCACAGAGGACTTCCAGAAAGAGAAAAGGTGCACCCAGTCTTTCTACCTGCTCTGGGTTCAGAAAGAGGGAGGAGCAGAGAGCAGAGCACTGTACACTGTGGGGCTGGGCTGCAGAGGGCATTTCTGAATTGTGCTGTGGTGTGAACCCTACTTGCCTACCTTGATGGTCACAAGGAGAGACAGGCTCATCTCTCATTCTCTCTCAACATTCAAGCAGCTCATTCTCTAGAAAAATCTATGACTTTCTTCTTCTTTCCTCTTACCCTGCTATTTCAAACTTATATCCTGTAATTTGTATACCCTCACAGCTGGATTAGATCCTGCTTTGTAGAATGAAAACAATTAACCAAAATTGAATCCATCTCTCTCTGCTTTCCACAGTCAGCTTCCTCACACAGGAGAATGCAAACAGACTGCAGCCCCAAGACCCAGCCACTAAGGAGACAAGACACTACCCCTCTTTG